AAAACATCATCCGTCTCCAGGGCAGGCGACTGGAAAAAGACACTGGTGTTCGGTCGAACCGGTGGAAACAAAATCGTCACTCCCAGAATAACTATGCAAAATAACGATCGAGCCACAATATTACCATAAAAATTACTTTCGTTGCATTTGACAATGATAAACTTACCGAAATGCCGTGTTTTTCTCGGTCGGTATAATTCGCCATTTTATTTGAGTGTGTTTGCCACCAGACTCTGCCCGGTGACGTCATCATGTGCGCTATAGAAGGAGGTCTGTGATTCGTTGACTAAAATCGTCGATAGTGGGTCTCGTTGAAATCTCGTTACATAGGCATCGGATCAGATGTAGGTAGGGCGGACTTTAAAAAAATCACAAAATCAAAATCAAAGTAAAATAATAAAATAAAAGGGCATTAATAACAAAAGTAATAAAAAATAAAATTAAAATAAGTTCATAGCCAAAATAATTAAAGCCCGTACACTACATCAGATTTTAATCAGATTGAGTCAAATTTAGCAACACAATACACTACGGTTAAAACACATGTTGAAATACAAGTCCGACACTTGGTTTTATGAACGTACGGGAGAATATCTTTCGAATACCGGCTAGTCGAACACGTGACAACTATATGACAAGCATTCCTAATGGAATATACAATGAAATATTGATACTTACGTTCTGTTGAAATTCAAGTCGATAATTATACGGATATAAAAAAAATGTGAAAAGATATGTAATGTCAAATTTAGCAACACAATACACTACGATAAAAACACATGTTGAAATACAAGTCCGACACTTGGTTTTATGAACGTTCGGGACAAAACCATTTAAATCACCGCCTGATCGAACACGTGACGTGACAACACGTGACAACTATATGACAAGCATTCCTAATGGAATATACAATGGAATATTGATACGTACCGTCTGTTGAAATTCAAGTAGATAATTAACGGATATGAAAAAAAGGTGAAAAGATAAGTAATGTCAAATTTAGCAAAAAATTTCACTACGATTAAAACACATGTTGAAATACAAGATCGACACTTGGTGTTATGAACGTACGGGACAAAACCATTCAAATCTTCGCTAATCGAACACGTGAATACTATATGACAAACATTCATAATGGAATATACAATGGAATATTGATACTTACTTGCTGTTCAAATTCAAGTCGATAGTTAAACGGATACGAAAAAAAAAGTGAAAAGATAAGTAATGTCAAATTTAGCAACACAATACACTACGATTAAAACACATGGTGAAATACAAGTCCGACACTAGGTTTTATGAACGTACGGGAGAATATCATTCGAATACCGGCTAGTCGAACACATGACAACTACATGACATGCATTCCCAATGAAATATACAAAGGAATATTAATACTTACTTGCTGTTGAAATTCAAGTCGATAATTATACGGTTATGAAAGAAGAATGTGAAAAGGTGAGTAATTTCAAATTTAGCAACACAATGCACTACGATAAAAAGACATGTTGAAATACAAGTCAGACACTTCGTATTATAAACGTACGGGACAAAACCATTTAAATCTCCACTAATCGAACACGTGAAAACTATATGACAAACATCCATAATGGAATATACAATGGATATTATTGTTTGTGTTGTATACATTCATAATCATCGCATAGATTACACAACATTATGGGCCCTGTGTGTTTGTCTCCCGAGTTTCATATATGCGTGTTATACACTCAGAAATGGGCGCTTATATTCAAAGACAAGACTATTGTCCTGTCACAGTTGTACATCCCATAGTTATCTGTTACCTGCGTCTGTCTTTATGTGCTATTTATGCCATTTATTGCAAGGACTTTAAATATGCAAATAGAAACATATGTACGTGTAGCTGAATATCTACTTATTTTAACCATATCTTTTACATCATAGAATTGTGTTTATAGAAGTATGTCACTTGTTTTTGAATGTTAAAGTTGTACTATCTTCCGTTATTTTGACAAGACTCTGCTATAAAACAATGCTATCAGTGCGAAATGACTAATTAATTTGTGCTTGTTTTGGAAATATCTTTATTTATCGTCGAATCTAAATATAATATAAATTATCAGTCTGCTGATAAAAAAAATATGTACTTACGAGTTAACTGATTAGGTCGATGTTCCTGGAGTTTCTTTACAAGTGTACCGAGACCAGTAGCTTTCAATAAATATTCCAGTACACTGGTGTTACATTCGTCTATGTCACCTCTTAATTGCAGTTCTTTTATCAAATCATACGGTCGAGTAATCTTCTCCAGTTGCCTCCTACCTATTCGCTTCTCTTCTGATAAAGTATCACACGCGTCCTTCATCTGTCTTAGATTATCTGAATATAACAGATATAAATATAACGTTGCATGGAACACGAAAGTGTATGTCGACTGAATAGCTCCGCTGTTTGTGAAGCACACTCTGACAACAATCTCACCAAACGTTTATATTGAACATATTGTCACAAAGGGTGCACATCTTATGAACAGTGTGTTAAGGGACCTGAAAAGGAAATACTAAAACAATAGGACTAGGTGTTTTCAAGATGTAGTTGAAACGAGCATTGCTCACTAACACTGACAAAATTGATATTATCGTCAAGAGATCCATCGGGTTAGCGGTTTTCGGCACAGTCGTACAGTAATATCCGTATTTGTCAAAACACAAATTCGACTTATTAGCAGTATATTTTACTATTTCTCCTCAACACCTTATTCAGTCAAGTGCGAGTATTACTGCAAGAAATGAAATAGTTTAAGCAATCAAATAATTCAAGTATACCGAGGCATTTAAAAAAATAACAAAGAGTCATCTCCATGTTTGTGTTGGCTAAACACTAATGTAATAATAATTCATACATCATGTCAATATTATTGATGTATATAAAAACTAAAAATATTAATTTTGGCTTGGGCAAGAAAGCCGTAACATAGTCTTTCGGAATATCGGAATTCACAAGACTCTGGCACTAACAGTTTTTTTTTCTGTACAACATTTATTTTATGAGTACAAAACACATAAATACTTAGTTTATTATAAATAAAAGTAATTATTTGATGATGTGAAAAAAAAAAACGACTTGTTGCATTGCGAAATAATGCACTTGTATAATGCATATTCAAGTACCGAGAACCCCGGAAATTTTCATTGTCAGAGTGGGATGAAAAAGTACGGCAAATAAAACTAAATTAAAAAAATAAATAAAATAAAACGAGAAGTGTGAAACAAATTGACCTAAGTATGTCCGAAAAGTGACCGTCAAAAAATATATATACGAGTTGGCCATACACCAACCTTTACATCTTTCATACGAATTTAAAACGAATCGAAATTAAGGTGTCCAGAGAAGTCTATTTCAGTGCATTTTTAGATAAACAAATATTCAACATCCAGCCATTTTTAATCACGAATTCAATACAGGTGCATGTGTCTAAGATGATACACTAGCGAAGTGTAGCATTTGAATAGAATCGGTACAAGGATATAGTCCAGACGCACAGATACTTGGACGAAAAGCTAATTAAACCACAAATCCCGTGTTGGAATTTTTCTGAACGGGGACTAAAAGTCATTCAATGATGCATACAGGAACAAATATAAGCCTCCTTTTCATGTAACTGTAAATTAACCACTGAATAGAGTTAGCACAAATCCAAGCGAAGAAATAAAATAGTGTACATAGTTTTTCTGCCATCAGTCTATCCCGACTTTGTAATGGTTAAACTACAGGGAGCCCAGAATAATAAACGTACCAGCCGATACTAACCCCTTTAAACCCGTACAGGCAAGGCGTACTGTTTATTATAGTTCCATGGTTCCCTGTTGGTTAACCCTTTTGTTCTTCACGCAACCGCATCATAACTAAATGAAGTATGATCAAACCTTCTTCCTTGCAACCATACACTAGTAAAACTACACGCCAGTTTTATATGATTTCTTATACAAATTACTGCCATGCAACAATTCTGAAACACAATTACTGACAATAATCATAAATAGCTCCATTCCCAAAAATGTTTCATTGTATTTCTATCATTATTTCGTTTTCGCATATTTCAGTTAAATGCCTGCCTTGTTGCATCGGAA